TCTTGAGATAAAATACAGCAATACCTAAATTCATATTACTCAATTATGGATTACAGAGATATACTATTACTAACGATAATATATTTATCTAGTGTTTAAAAATCGGACGTATTATGGGGTTCAATGTAAAAGTGCATCAGGATGTTATATAGTATCTATAAAGGATAGAGGTTGTAATGGAACACTTTTCAAAATGTCCAGAAATATTCAAGATATTCTCCAAACAAAGGTAATGTAATAAAAAAATCAAAGACATTATGTCTAAAATAAAAGCTTAATTATCTAAGGAAGATGATGAAGATTTTATAATTTTTTTAAAGGAATTTTAATTTGATGGAGTTGTCAAAGCACTTAAGCATTTTACGATAAAAAATTTGAAAGAAAAGTATGGGGAATAATATGATGAATTTTCGAGCGATGAAGAATAAAATGCAAGCAAGTCACATCCTTCAAAAAGTAATAGTGATTAAAAACAGATTAATACAGAAGACAAAATTCTATTAATTTAAGAAGGAATTAGAAACATGATAACACCATTTGAAGATAACAAACTATCACCAATCGAGGTTAAAGAACATTTAACTTTAGATGAAGAAGAATAAAGTTAATAATTTGAAGAAATACTACCAGTTTCATAAGATAAGTAATAAAACAGAAGGAATGCGTCTAGTAGTGATGAACCAAAATACAAAAAGAAATCAAAACCAAAGAGTTCAAAAAGACAATCAAAAAGAAGAAAAACAAGAGAACAAAGTAATTAAAAACATAAACCTAAATCTAGAACCACAACAAGCAAATCTGGAAGAAGAAGTTGATTTATATCACATTAATAAAATGTATCAATATAAATATCTATTTTATGTTATGCTCTCTCTCTCTCACGATTCTAAAACTTATATAAAAAATTTGTATCTAAAATGTACTTAAAATTCTGTCCAAAATGTTCAAAAATCTATCTAAAATATATATTATAATCATTCTAAAATATACATAAAATCACTCTAAAATATACATAAAATCACTCTAAAATATACATTAAATTTAGTATTTAAAATTATACAATTTAGTCTAAAATTTACCAAAAAAATTAAAAAATTTTCGAAATTTTTTAAACAAAAAAATACAAACAAATAGTCTAACATGAATATCACTATTTGAATTCTGTTTTCAGCTAATTGTAATTGAAAAATAAAACAGAATTATTATTACAAAAAAATCAAAAAATAATATGTCATAAGATTATCATAATATGTATGTGGAACAAATTTCAGAGCAGAATTAATTGAGGAACTCTTAATTAAATGAAAAAGAAAGAAAAAGCCTAATAAAAAATGAATACAAAATACTGAAAGAGAAACAAAGAAAATCTATAGCACAAACTTAACAAATGCAATAATTATTACAAAAGCAATTATGTTTAGAAGATTCAGATTATGAATCATAATAAGGAGACCCTACAAGAAGAAGATTTATTTATGATGATGAAAGATAAGTGTGCATGATTTGTAATTGCGCGTTTGGAATATCCATTGAGGAACATGAGAATTAATTGGAACATAAGAAAAAATTAAACTTGCAATTTCACTAATTATAAAAATACAAAACTTTCTATGAGACAAACTTCATAAGTTAAAAATTATGGAGTCTTCAACTATTTGACAAATTCAAATTGGAAAATGGGATACGTAATGAAGATTTTACAAAATTCACTAGACAATAATTAAATTAGCATTCTTATGACTTTAAGTAATTAGGAGAACAGACTTAAAGGAAAATAACAGATGAACTATCAAAGTTATTTGAATTTCTTTACATAAATAATATAAATTCAATTAGCATTCAATCGATTGTAAACTTTTTAGAAAATGCTACTATCAAAAAGATTCAAGTTCTATAAGGAATTTCATTTTTACTTAAGCAATTAGGTTTAACAAATATTGAAATAAAAAATATTGTGTAAAATTACAAGGTAATTAAAAATCAAAGTGAAAGTCTAAATTCTTATGATAAACTTCTCAACAATTTAGAGAAATTACTAAATTATCTAATTGTGTTCAAAGAGTTTTAATTGTATTTATTTTTAATAATAATTAAAAATACAACAATAAACAAAATCACTTTGTTTCGAAATGGATTATCAAAGTACGAAATATAGTAAGGTTCATTGATTATTCGCTATTTGAATAAAAATGGAAATTTAAAAAGAGCTGATATTGACGTAAATCAAATTCATCGCGAAGCAATCATGTATTTAGAGAATTTGTAAAAGCAAGTTGATCATGAAGTGAAGAGTAAAGAGATATTTTCTACTTTTGAAAAAGCAAAACATTAGAATAAAATTATACAAGAGATAAGAGAGAAGATTAAAGGAGAGAGTAATTTAGAAGTAGAATTCAGATAATTTTTACAAGACTTTAAATTGCAAGAAATAACAAATGTGTTGAAAAAAATTGTTGTAAGAAAATTTAAATCTTAGTGTGGGG